CTCTGATAAAGCATTCCTGTTTATTTTTGTTACATTTTTATAGAATTTTAATGTTTTGTATAACAAAATGCTTTCTGTGTTCAGGTTTGACTGTAGTAATAATAATTCTATACACACACACACACACACACACACACATACACACGACGCGTTACTCTGCGCTGTGCAAAACTCTGCATTTGAACAGTCAATAGCAAATACTTAAACTAATAACAAAACATACTTACAGTCGCTGATTCAGAAGCGCCAGATTGTCATAGCAAAGTCGGAATTGACCCTTTTTTTTTTTTTTAGAAATAGCCTTTTTGCACATCCAGCCTTGTACTCTTCTAGGTTCAAAAAACTGTCGTCCATAAAATGCGTTGCACAAATTCGAACATCTGGGTTGTGCTGTTCTGTAATAAATCTTAACCAATGATTCCTAATTGCATCTGCTTCCGGAAGGCCAAATAAAGTGCTTTTGCTTTCGCACTGAAACACAGCTTCTCCCTGACATGGCTGCATCAACACTACTGCTGTTTCTGAAACCACGCCTTCTTTCTTTGCATGTACATTTGGGCGGCATTATGCTAATATTTCCACATAGTGACCTAGACATGTGGGGGCGTGTTAGAACGAGCCGTTTTAGGTAGGCGTGGCTGACTCTTAACTTTTATAAAGAATATCTCTTTGGATTTGAGACTTTAGTCTTTGCAACTTTACAGATCTTCTTTATGCACCAAGAGCTTGTAACACTCCAAAGAGAAAGGAAAAATTGAAATCGCATCATATGACCCCTTTAACATTACATTCCGGGCCGGAATGTAGGTCTCTGTTTTGGTTTGTGAAATCATATGAAAACATGTTCATCACAGTTCACCCTAAAATGTAAAGAAAGAAATGGAATTAAATTTTATTTTACATGAAGAAAGTCTTCATTTTCTTTATGCAAAATAACATTTCTTAATATATTTCTTTACATTTTAGCACCTTTAAGATTTTTCCTCATGTGACATTATTATTATTGTTATTATTATTCATATTTTAATGACAATAAACACATTTCCACTATCAAGATCTCATTACCATAATGCAGGGTTTCCCAAATGTGGGTTCAGAAAAGAACCGCAGGTGGTTGGTGAATTGATGAAAAGTTAATAAATAAATCATAAAAAGGTCAAATGAAAATAAATATTTAATATAATTTAAAATTAAAACACTTACACTTACTAAAAACGATTAAATATTTTATTTGGTTAATCAACATCAGAGGACTGTGAAACATGCAGATATATTGTTAAATAATTCAATTTATTTATGTATTTTAGGTCAGAGGGATTTAGCTGACAAAAATGTTTGGAAATATATATATATATATATATATTTAATTTTTATTATGACGACTCTGATTAGATGCTCAGTACTTTAAATATATTTTTTACAGTGTTTTGTGCTGTAATAATTTTTTTATTTAAATTATTATAAATTAAAAGTGGTAAACAGGATTATTATAGTTAACTCAAATTAAAACCATAAAAAAACATTTTTTAAATTAAACTTTAAAACCATTAAAAAAACATTTTTTAAATAAAATAAACTTTAACTGAAATAAAATAAAACCTTCACTTACTAAAATAGCACAAACTAAAACTGAAATAAAGTTAATAAAAACTATATTATAATAAACTAATAAAACTGACAAAAACGGCAAAATTACTAAAATTTTCTTTAAAATTAAAATGAAAACAATATATATATATATAAACAAATTCAAAATCTGAATAACAACTTGTAAAATATATATTTTACCGCAGTGTTATTTTAGTATTGCAAAAATATGGTAACGTATATATATTTTATATGTATAAATTAATAAATACTACCATAATGTACAAAATCTTCAAAATTTGAAAAAAAACATTTCTACAGTAATAAGAATTTAGGGGTTAAATGTGCTTAATTGTCATGACAATAATGTAACAATAAATCTTAATGGCCATAAAAGTTTCTTTTGATTTTGGGGTGAATTATGAGGTGGACATGCTCTCGACAGGTTTGGTGATATTGATCCTGACGTGTCCTGTGTTTTCTAGCCTGTCATATTCTGGAGTGCTCTGACGGTCTGGCTCAGGACGTGATCAGTACGATCGGTCAGGCGTTCGACCTGCGCTTTCAGCTCTATTTGCAGTGTCCGTCCAGCAAACCCTCGTCCATGCACGACAGGTGAGTCCTCATCCACACCTTCAGGATTCTGATCCTCAGACCCCGCTCTCACTGTGTCCTGTGTTTAGGGTTATGAGTACAGACGAGCCCCCGTGGACGGAGGAAGGAGAGGAGTCGGCCGATCATCACTACTACAACAGCATTCCCGGAAAGATGCCGCCACCAGGAGGCTTCATTGATGCTAGACTGACCAATCAGACGCAAGACAGCAGCCAGGTCTGCAGAACTAATCACTCGCCCACACTCATGCGCTATTTATAGTAACCTGACCTCTGATCGATCATCACTCGAGCTCAGCTGCTTCTGCAAATGCAACTCGCGTGTTTCTGTCAATAGCTCTTCATTAATTGTGTTTTGGTAAATAACGAGAGTAAAGATTTTTATTGCTATTATTCTGAGGTTTTTATAAAACATAGTATTTACCTCTGTAGATCAAGGAAATCAGGTCACTAAAATGAATCGAGAGAATATTAAATTTAGGGAACGGAAACCAAACAAATCTGATATTAATTGTAATGTTTGCATGTGTTTTTTTTTTTTTTATTATACTTTATTATGTTTTGTTTTAATTTTGAAAGTAATAACGCAAAATATAGAACAATTCCAATATTTCCTCCCCAACATATATATATATTAATTAAATTAAAATAATTTTAAAATAAACATTACATTTTGTTATTATATCAAAAGGAAAAACATAAATTACAGAACAATTTCAATTTTCCCACTCCAATATATAATTAAACAAGAAAATTTAATAAGAGTAACTAAATATTATATTTTGTTATGAACAACGCAAAATACAGAACAACTCCAATTTTCTCACTCCAGCGTATAAATTTTTTTATTAATTTAATAAATTAATTAATATATTATAAATATTACATTTTGTTATAATATTGAAAAGAAACAACGCAAAATACAGAACAATTTTCTCACTCCAACATGTAATAATTAAAATAATAAATAAATATTATATTTTGTTATAATATTAAAATGAACAACACAAAATACAGAACAACTTTCCCACTCCAAGGTATGTAATAATTAAATTAAAATAATAAATAAATATAATATTTATTAATTTGTTTATTTATAATAAATAAATAAATAACACAAAAAGAACAATTACAGCTTTCCCATCCCAACACATATAATAAAATGTTAAATAAATAAATGTTGTCATAATATTGAAAAGAACAATACAAAATACAGAACTATTCCAACTTTCCTACCCCAACATATATAAATTAAACAGTACAGTAAGAAATATTATTATTATAAAATTTCTCAAGTTACAGTACAGTATTAGGTTTTTTTTTTAACTCACATTCCGCATGATCTACTTCTTAACAGCTTGTATAAATGTTGACATTAATAGTGTGTTTTAATTTTAGCTATAATAAACTGTGACTTCCTGTAGTGTGGCCTCTGCTTCCTGTCTGTCAGTGTATGTGGACTCCATCAGCTCAGCGATGAGGAGGTGTTTCATTATTGTTGTTGATGACTCATGTGCTGTTTGCTGCTGTCCACACAGGCCGCTGGAGTCCACCAGACATACTACCAGGGCCGCCCCATGTTCATCCAACAAGGTACAAGTTCCTTTTATTTTCACTGTTTTGACATTGAGTTAAAGGGACAGATCACACAAAAAAAGAGACATTTTTCAAAATATCTTCGTGTTTCTGTCTGTGCCTTTCATTTAGGCTCCTGTGACATATACAGTCTCCCTGAGGTCAAAGGCCAAGCCCCTAAACCAGGAGAAGTGCCCACGTATGTGAACACGGAGCACATTGACACACAGATGTTGGCTGCCCTCCAGGGAGAGTCAGAGATGCCGTCCGATTCGGGCACGAGTGGGACAGCTAAAGACAGCCCGAGGAAGGACCTCTTTGACATGAGTAAGAGTTTATAGTCTGTTCATTCTTAACACTGCTGTAGGACTATGTAATGTACGTGTTTTACAGCGCCGTCAATAGGTGGCACATAAAAATGCAGTTCATAACACAAAAGTTCAAATTTGCAAGTTCAGGTTGTCAAAATGCCGTCTTGGCGAGTATCCGTTACCGTGAAATAAAATGACTCATAACTCAATATAAGATTGTGGTCATATTGCCCACCCCTAATGGTCATATTTGTGACCTGGACCACAAAACCAGTCATAAGGGTAATTAACCATATGACTGGTTTTGTGCTCCAGGGTCACAAATATCTTCTGACTGTATCACATCATTGTCAGCAGTTTTTGTAGAAAGATGATAAAAGTGAGGAAATTTGAGTCATTTTATTAATGAATCCCTTTTGTCACAAGTCAAATTTAGTGCTTTACACAAAACACATTGTTTCAAAGCAACTTCAAAAGCAGAAAATCATGATGCTAATGTTTATAATATCTTAACATCTTCACGCCTCATAGTGGCATTTGGCAGATATACTGTATGTATGTGGATAAAGTTGGACAGAATTATACTGTATATCAAAACATGTTTTATAAAATAGTGCTGGTTTAAGTTCTCTTAGAAAATTATAAACTAAAAATAAAAGTGCAATTCAAAAACCTACAACATAAATTGTTCAATAATTTATTTATTGGATTTTTAACTTATTACTCACCATGAAAATAGCAAAAACATTGGTGTTGAAACACCAACCAACCTTATATGAAGAGCTGGGTGACATTTTGAGACTAAATAAAAATTTAAAATGTTTTCTCGTGCCATCAGAGCCGTTTGAGGACGCCATCATGACCCAGACTCCGGCTCCGGCTCCGGCTCCGGCTCCGGCTCCTCCAGCCTCAGAGCTGCATAAAGCGGCGTCCGTGGATAACTGCAGTCCTCTGCTGATGCGCGCGGCCGCTCTGAGAGCTCAGGAGGAGCTGGAGGACCAGACGTGGTACCACGGAGAGATGAGCCGCCGCCAGGCCGAGAAACTGCTGCTCCGCGACGGAGACTTCCTGGTGCGGAAGAGCAGCACTAACCCGGGCTCATACGTCCTGACGGGGATGCACCACGGCCTGGCCAAACACCTGCTGCTGGTCGATCCGGAGGGAACGGTGAGAGCCATGCTCACCCATACACACCAAACTCAGTGGCTGTTTTTAACCTCACTATTTCTTAAAGGTGACATATCATGAAAATCTGACTTTTCCAGGTTGTAAAAAAGCCTACTCCGGGCATTGATGAATATGAACAGATTTTAGCGATATGTAATCACATACACTGAAAAATGAGAAACCGTTTTCAACATTGCTTGTAAATTTCACAAATAATTACAAAGAAACAGCACATTGAATTAAACATGTAATTTTGAAATAGTGTTTTCTTGTAAAACAAACTCCAGTAGTGTTTTTTTTTTCTCTGATAAAACATTTTTACAGTGTATTAAAGTAAACTTAGTGGGATTCAAACGTCTTAGAGCTCTAGAGAAAGTGCTTCTGTTTTAGGCTCTTTTGTAGTTGAAAGTAAAACATTTGGAGTGAAAAGTTCTCCAGCATGATTTGAGATGTTGCAAAGAGCATCGTGAGCGTCAGTGGAGAAGAAAATCGGACAAAGTCTCATCTCTGTCACATGATCAGCGACACTCATTTGCTTATATTTGATTAGTCACAGAGATACTGCAGAATCTGAAATAGATCTCCGTTCATTTGATCATTTTATTTAAAACATTTCCAAATCCTAAAACTGTTTAGTTCCAGGTTTGAATGAATGAAATACAATATTTCCAATCTGGACTTTTGGACTCCACTGTAGTTGCCACAAGTTTGGGGTCAGAAAGATTTTTTGATGTTTCTGAAAGAAGTCTCTTCTGCTCACTGAGGCTGCATTTATATGACCAAAAATACAGTAAAAACTGTAATATTGTGAAATATTATTACAATTTAAAATAACTGTTTTCTATGTGAATATCTGTTAAACTGTAATTTATTGCTCTGTATTTTCAGCATCATTACTCCAGTCTTCAGTGTCACATGATCTTCAGAAATCATTCTAATATGCTGATTTGCTGCCCGAAAGGGTTTATTATCATTAAAACTAAAATTAAAGTGAAAATGATCAAATAATTATATTATTTCAGCTAGTTGACATTTTCATTTAAACTAAAACTTAATACAAACTATATAGACATTAAAAAAAACTAATAACAAACACAAAATTACTAAAAGTTTAACTAAAATTACAATGAAAACAGTGTAAAAAAAATAAATCTAATTAAGAATATTAACAAAAACTATAATAGTATATTGATACTAAAATAGCACTGGTGCTCAAGAAATATTTCTGATTATTATCACTGTTGAAAACCGTTGTGCTGCTTCATATTTTTGTGGAAACCGTGATACATTTTATTCTTCATGATTCTTTGAAGTTTGATGAATAGAACGTTCAAAAGAACAGCATTTATTTGAAATCTTCTGTAACATTTTAAACGTCTCTACTGGCACTTTTGATCAATTGTATGCGTCCTTGCTAAATAAAAATATTAATTTCTTCAAAAACAAATCTTACTGACACCAAATTTTTAAATGGTAGAGCATGTAAGCATGTTTCTGTCATGTGTGCTTAAACTTTCAAATCAAATTTATGTCTCCTCAAGGTCCGGACGAAAGATCACATATTCGAGAGCATAAGCCACCTGATTGGCCATCACCGTGACAACAACCTGCCAATCGTGTCGGCGGGAAGCGAACTGTGTTTGAAGCAGCCGGTGGAAAGAAAACAGTGACGACACCTGAAATCCCGCGGGAGGCTCACGGCGCCGCTCTTTTACGAAAACACACACGCTCAGATGACTGATCTCCGTCGGAGAACACGTGACGCTTGTCCAACGACGCAGGATTTTAGTTTGGATGATGCGAAAGCGCTCTCACCGAAAGCTGAATTCTAGAACTGACAGTTATTTTATTGCGTTGGCTGAGAATCTCTATTTTTGAAGAAGACAGCCGTTCGAAAGGGGAGTTTGGACGAACTCGGCCTCCAAGAGGCATGTGACGAAAACTAGATAAAGAGTATTTTAGAATAAAAAAAGTTTTAGTTTTGTCTATCAAGCACAACCGGATTTTCATGTTCGTTGGTAAGAGATAGAAGGAAAACTACTATTTGAGAAAACGTAAGCGAAAAAAAACAAAGCTGTTTATATCGACCTATTTTAGGAGTTCGTCCTTTACTGCAGCTAGTGCGCGAGATCATTTGGTAGCTTCTATCGAATCACTGCTTTTCAGAGGGAAGATGACGTGAATGTGTTTGCTTTAACAGAAATCACACTCCGACATGCTGCACGAACACACACACACACACACACACCTTCAGTTTTCTATGACGTTGAAACCTCTGGCACTCGCATGACTTAAAACCTTAATTGTACTTGTGGTCATTGTTGGTAGCATCCAGAGCCCCAGCGGAGGTGCTTTTGTGTGCTCACAATGTAAAATATTTATGCTTTCCCAGTATTCCTTGAGTTTAGCTCCTTCTTTAAACGTGTCAGAGGTGTGTAGTCGCTCGGCTCGGGCCTTTACTTTATACCTTGGATGTTTCTATCGGTTCTGGCTTTCATGGTTCAACTGTGGGCTTCACAAACACACACACTGGTATTATAATTATTCTTCTGATGATTATTTTAAATTAAACCGTTCTAAATGAATAGCACAATTAACACTTTTCTGTGTGAGGGAGACAGTCTGGTGTGTTTTTGCACAGTCTAATTACTGGACAAACTGGAGTATTACTGGATTTTTCACCGTTTTAGCCACGCTTTAAAATATTCATATTTATTATATCGTAAACATGCTTCTGTAGCATTTAGTGTTTTTCTTTAAATCCACATTTCAGATAAATGAAATTTGCATCTGATACTATTCATGTTTAGAAAATAGCTCCAAGATATGCAAGCATGAGGCTGAATGTCAAGAAATTGACCACAAAAATCATCAAAAAATACAAAAAAGCTTAATTATCTTGACAATAATTCAAAAAATATTAGTAGTCCTACAAACAGGTTTCCTTTTTTATGCTGAATATAATTGGTTTTCTTCTTTTTTTTTTTTTTTATTAATTTTTTTTATTAAATTATTATTATTTATTTATTTTTGCATCTGATTGCTGTTTGGAAAATAGCACTAAGATATGAACTTATATCTTAGTGCATAAGGGTGTATCTCATAAAAACGTTGTGAAACTGACCCCAAAATGAAAATAATGAAAATTCCCCGTAAAAATAATGCAACAAAATATTAATGTTCCTGCAAACAGGTTTCATTTTTTTAAATACTGAATATAATTTTTCTTTTTTGGAAATGTCATCCAATAATTGGTTTTCTTCTTCTTTTTTTTTTTTTATTAATTTTTAAATTAAATTATTATTATTAATTTATTTTTGCATCTGATTGCTGTTTGGAAAATAGCACTAAATTATGAACTTATATCTTAGTGCATAAGGGTGTATCTCATAAAAACGTCATTAAACTGACCCCAAAATGAAAATAATGAAAATTCCCCGTAAAAATAATGCAACAAAATATTAATGTTCCTGCAAACAGGTTTCATTTTTTTAAATACTGAATATAATTTTTCTTTTTTGGAAATGTCATCCAATATAATTACTGTTTGGAAAAAAGCACTAAGATATTAACTTATAAAGTTATCATGCATAAATAAGGGTGAATCTCATAAAAAAAAAAGAAGGAAATTGACCCCAAAATCAACAGAAAAGTATTCAATTAAGCTTATTATTGTCATGAGAATAATCCAAAAAATATAAATGGTCCTAGAAACAAGCTTAATTTGCTTTATGCTGAATATAATTTATTTTCTGCTTTTTTTTTTTTTTTTGGCAGAGTGGAATATGACCTTTCTTGGTGAGATTCACCCATAAATTGTGATTTGCATTAATATTAAAGAAGTTTTGTAGTCTAGAATGATGAAGACCGGCGTGCAGTTTCATATATGCTCAACTGTGGATCTCTTTTCTTTCTCTAAATTTGAATATGATTGTTGTTATCGTTTGCATTATTGCATCACTTTGAATATCGTCATTCTCACACAAACACAACACATGATATTTATGTAGTGAATTTTGTCATATTAAACTCTGAATATATTGATGTGGAGGTACAGGATGAATGAGAAAAATATATTTTTAGTTTTAAATAATTGTAATTTTACAGTTAAATTAATTCTATTTAATTTATTAAATACTAAATAACATACAAACAATAAAATAATCTCATACTTCATATTTTCACTGAACAATTTACAGCACAAGATAGAATCACCATGTATATGCATTTTACATGTGCATATACATGAAGTGCATATTTTTGTTGATTAATATTATATCACCCTCTATTTCGCGAGTCAAAGTTGCATTATTATTAGCCAAACCTAAATTGCAGATCATGATGAATCAACAGAAGGTTTTGAAAAGAAAGACTAGTTCAGTTTAAGTTGCTCTAAATCTTTACATAATATTTTCACAAATTTCTAGTCTGCGAAATTACTGAAGGATTTTTCCGAAATGCAAACTGCCAAATCCCAGCATAATTTCACTGAACCTTATTTATCTAATCCTAGGGAAAGATGTTCTATTATATTACACTCATTAAACTGACTCCAACTAATCAGTGGTGGTTTAACTGTTTTTGTCATGCTAAATCTTATTATTCATTACTAAACTACAGTGTTGCTTTGCCATCCCGAGTTGTGTTTAGGAAAACGTGCCTTTTATTTGTACTATCGTGCTTTTCTCTTGAAAGCACCTTCCACTGAGCGTTTGATCACAGCGGTTCACAGGCCATAAAACAGGTGACAGAATTCAACCTCCCAAAGCCCAACCCGTGTTTACAGGTCCCATCTCTGCTTGTATGAATTATTCCTATTCTTTATGATTGGTGGCAATAAAAGAATCATGTGTATTACTCTTTGATTACGCTGGTTATTCAGGTGAATCTGAACAGGTTCAGGTCATATTTCACCCCAAATAAAAAAACAAACAAATCAGGAATTATGTTTTGCATGAAGAACATTAATCCTATTTTCCCAGTCCTCATTAGCATAAAAATGTCATTCTCATTACTGTATTGATTATATATATACATATACATATGTATGTGTGTGTGTGTGTATATATATATATACTGTATATATTATTAGCTTGTCATTACTATCTATCATATATATATATATATGATAGATTCTTAAATTAAGATGCATTTACTTGAGGAGCATTGTATCATTTTATTTATATTATTATCTATTTTAGATTTGATTTATATTTAATTGTATTGATTTTATATATTTATTTTGTGCTGCTTGTATGTGTCCAGCAGATGGCGCAAGTGCACTATTAATATTTCCTTACACAGCACTGCATGTGGGACCATAAACAGCTGTATTGGTTTAAATCATTAATATACATACATTTACAGCAGCGTACATTACTCTTGTATGAATGTTCTTTGGTAAAAGTTTGATAAGTTATTTCAAGAAAAATCAACAACCTATATACAACGTATCATACAGACTGAAGTGAAACATGCTAGTATAATATATATCAACACCTGGCATAAAAGGCTTTCGGTATACAGATAGTACAACATTTAACATAGCGCTATATGAATACTGTCAATATTTATATAATTGTCAAATTAGTCTTTTAGTCAGCTAGACTGAATGCAAAAAAATGATTTTCTTACTCAGTATTTTTGTCATTTACAGTACAAATATCTAAACATTCTTAAATCAAGACACATTTACTTGAGAAGGAAAAGCACTAAAGGTATAAAGTCTTGTTTTCTGAAAAATGTATCAAATTCAAGTTTTTGTTTAAAACAAGAAAAAATCATTCTGCCAATGGGATAATTTTTTTT